AAGAATGGAGCTGTTGGATAAAAGAGTCTTGTTGGGTAGACAGGGGATGGATGTCCTCTGGGAGACAGATGTGAAAGATGTGTTGAAAAAAGCTTGGTAATACTTTCTATGAAGCCCATTTTTATAACAAGCCAAGTCAAGTCACCTTTATTTATATAGCACTTTTAACAATAAGTCACATTGTGCAGAGGACTCAACTGGCTCCTGTGGTCTTGTCCCGGTGGTCGTCTAGGAGACAAGATCCTCACTGGGGATCTGTCTCTGGGGCTCATCTCAAAAAAATGAAACCTTGACTTTAATTTTTTCTTGTCAACAGGTTCCACAAAATTTAATTATGAAAGTTGAAAACAAATATTTCAAGGTTATCTAACTTAATGGGGTTGTTTTAGGGAGAAATAATTTTTTTGACTCAAGCCAACTATTATCACTAATTTTTGCTCAACAAGAGACGTTTGAGTTTAACTAACTAAAGTCGGTTATGTTATATGGACTAACAAAATTTGTGTAGAAGTTGCATATTACACATTTGTCCATTCAAAGTAAACTAATGATTTTACAACAAAACATTCAATTCAAGCTTAATTAATCAAAATAAAATGCTTTCACTAACTTTAATTTTTACTAGTTAGGTTGAATTAACTTTAGTTTGTTCCACACAAATTACTTCAGTAAACTCAACTCAACATTTGTTAGTTCCTTTATTCACCAACACAAGAGTTTATCAACAACACAACACAACTGTTTATCAAATTCTGTTTTACAAAAGATAAAAAAAAACAGTTAAACATACCCATGAGTGGCAGCATTTAAAGTTGGTTATCTTTACCTTAAAAAAAAAAAACAACAACTCTGGACACGCTTTACATGCATGTCACCCAGAACAGTGGTGCGTGTCACAAAAAAAGAAAAAAGATATAATCTTTCAAGTGTGAATTAAATGGTTTCAAGTGCAAAGCAGGCCTTTATGTCAAACGCCACAAACTTTTAAGTGCTCAATGTTGGTTCACTCATACAGTTTGTTTTTAAGCATCTGTATATGCTTTACATGACAAAACATGTCACCCAGAACAGTGGTGCGTGTCACACAAAATAAAAGAAAAAAGGTATATAAACTTAAGTGTTTTTCAATTAAATGGTTTCAAGTGCAAAGCAGGCCTTCATGCTCACCGCCACACGCTCAATGTTGGGTCACTCCTACAG